AGTTTGCATTGTCTCTTTTTTTCTGCTTTTTCATCCCTGGATTAATCACCTGCTGATTAAAGTGCAACACAAGGTAAATGAAAATATAGCTCAGAAACAATCCGACCAGGAATTCCCTGGTCTCAAGGAGGAAAAAAAAAAAAAAGGAAAAATACAACAAATACAACAAACACCCCTTCCAAAAACATGGTAGAGGGGATGAGGGGAACAAACACAGCCCAAAAATGCCCCATCCCAAAATCCAGCTGCTGCAACACCTTCTATTCCTACTGTGGAACTGCTTTTTTAGACAGCTCCACACACACATGAGGACACTGCTCCTACCACACAACTTAACCAGGCAGGACCCTCTATTAGCTTCTGCCTCATTTTCACAGCTTTTTGGGTCAAAATGATGATAAAATGTGAGTCTCCAAATACATCATCAGGCCTTTACTGTGTTCCAAACACACTGGGCAGGGTGTTTAGCTGGACAATGCTGTTCTGGAGGAGTTTAAACCATTAGAGCAGCACAGCCTCTGGCTCAAGAGCAGTGAAATGCTTCGTTCAGCTCCCTCCTCTCAAATGCTCTGTCCTGTCCCTCCTCTCCAGGAGCTCCCTGATCCAACCCACTCCAGCCAGCCCTTCCCTCCCTTTTCACCACTGCCAAAACCTAATTAATGGAAACAACTAAATGGAAAGAAGCCTTCAATTTTTGGTTTTTTGAGATGTCAAATGCAGCATCAACTTTTTTCCCCTTTTATTTATGAGTGATTCTGCTGGAGCTGGTGGTGTCAGTGTCATTCCAGAATGAATAACCCAAAGCTAAGGAGAAGTGGGGAACTTTTCACCCACAGCCTGCAGAAGTTCTCCTGCCTTTGTAGCATCCTGCTGCTGACTTTCTGCATTGGGATCTCTGCCCAATGTGAGGTTAAAGCTTTTTCCACAGGTCCAGATGCTGCTGTTCCTATCATAGAATGGTTTGGGATGGGAGGGATTTTAATCCATCCAGTGCCACCCCTGCCATGGCAGGGACACCTTCCACTGTCCCAGGGTGCTCCAAACCCATCCAGCCTGGCCTTGGGCACTGCCAGGGATCCAGGGGCAGCCACAGCTGCTCTGGGCACCTGTGCCAAGGCATTTCCTCCTAATATCCAACCTAGACCTACTCCCTTTTAGTTTAAAGCCATTCCCCCTTGTATCTCTCCCACCAGCCAGCAGTGAGCACACAGGGCTGGGGATTTCTCTGCATTTCTCTTCACAGACAAAAGCAAGGCACAACTTCCCAAAGATTTT